TGATGGCATATTTATATAAGGGACACTGATTGGTGCACACTTGGATCCCACACCCGGGTGTGCACTTTCCACGTAAAAAAAAAAAGTTAGATCGGTTTATGGGTTTTTTTTTTTTTTGTTTATATGGTGTGTGCACACCCGGTGTGGGATCTGGGTGTGCACACATCATTATCCTATTAGTTTTTACCATACAAATTATTAAGGATTCAAGCAAGAGTCAAAAATCAAAAATCCTTCTGTATATACCATAAATTGCAAAATTTTAAATTAATGCCACGTGTAAAATTTTTATTAGCTGGAGGAGTTTGAGCCATATTAGATTTGGATTCTGGGCCCCATGACAGATCAGCACATGTGTTGGCAAGATAGGAGAGATAAAGATAATGTTTTATGGAGTAATTATCTTCTTGAAACAGAAAGGGATAATGGCAGCTGGAAAATAAGGGAAGATCACAGTTAAAAAGGGGATTTTATCTGATAAAATACAGGTGGTGAAATCTGTAAAGAGATAAGACTAGGTCAAAGGTGAGGTATCCCACTACTTCAAAAAACCACCTATGATTGGGTAACTGCAGAAAGTGGAAGTTACAACCAACACATGGGGAACAAAAAGGAAATTTTGGAAGGAAGAAGGCACGGCCAGCCCTACTCAAACATCTGCAAATTTTCATACTTTGATTTTCTCTGCACATGCTTCCAGATTTCAGATTTCAGCACAGATTTCATATTCCAGCACATATTCCATTAGAATTAGGTTGTTTTTCATCATTCCAGTAGACAAATTAATTCCTATATTCAGTTAAACAATTTCCTTTCATGCAATGAACTTCAATCTTTCAAGTTTATGTAAGGTATTGTTCTCTTTTCATTTGCAATTAATTTAATGTTTATGATAAGTAGCATTTTATTCAATGATTACTTATGTGGTGTTCATACCTCTTTGCAACCTCAAGCATGGTAGTTTAATTACTGTTCACGTTAATTTTAATGTTAATTAAGATGAAATCTTTAATTCTGCAGCATGTTAATTTCCAGATCTGCCAGTACATTGCATTTTAATTCAACAATGAACATGTTTAGTTTAATTTGTGTACAGCTTTTTATCGCAAATTTACTTTAAATTGCAGGTAATTTAGAATAATTAAGATTTGTTAATTTTAAGTCACGGTAGTGTTTAAGTCATTGGAGTTGTCCAAAGCAGATTTCGTAACCCATTCTGCAGGAAGGTATTCCTCCCTCTTGCAAATCGTCTGAAGGCGCAAATTACATTTTAATCCAACGTTCTTCCCACCATCTGCAAAGGCGCAAATTACATTTTAATCCAACGTTCTTCCCACCATCTGCAAAGGCGCAAATTACATTTTAATCCAACGTTCTTCCCACCATCTGCAAAGAGGTCGACCAAGAGGAAGGAGAGGGTCGTTGGGAAAGTCCTCCTTTCTTACTTTCAGCAAAGTAAGTGGCACGCCCGCATCCAGATTTCACACGTGCGAGGCCACTAGAGGATTTTTGAGGAAACACCTTCTGAATGCATAATTTGGGAGAATAGCAAGGAAAGTTTTTTCCCTTTTTTTTTTGGCCATAAATAAGGAACATATAAGAATAGCAATTCTATTATGAATACTGTTGTCTTCTAAGTCACATTCTACAAGTATCCTAGAGTATCTCCATTCAAGCTATCACCTCCAATTATTGGACAATCTGGTGAATCATGTCCAAACTGGGCAAAGCTAGAACCAGAATAGTGCCTCCGCTTTCGAGTAATGTCAAGTCCATCTCTTGACCTTTTCTCCTTCAGCTTTCCTAGAGAAAGAGGCTCCTGAGAATTCCCAATTGTGAAACTCTGAACCATTCCATCAGTGTCTTCCACTTCTGGCAGAATCAAATCAGATGGACAGTTGTAGACCATATCATTGGCATATGTGGTTGGCCTCGGAAGGTCTTTGATACGGGATAATACCATAGCTATCTGCTCACAAGCAGCATCAAGGCGTTCCTCTGTTTCAATCGATTCTGCCATGAGTGTTGAAGCCATGGACTCTAACAACTGAATCTTGTCAGATTGCTCTCTTGTAGTATTCCTTAAGGGGTTTGTGCAAGATGAACCATTGATGCGCCAACGGGTTGGCAGATATTGTTCTGGAATGTGGAAACAATTATTGCTTGACAAGACTCGGAGCACATGCCCGCAAAGGATGCCAGAAAACTCAAACTGATGGCAGCTGCAGCTAATGAGCTCTTCACAAGGAACCCAAATTACTTTGTACCCACCATCCATCTGGGTATGGTGTTTCACCTCGAAACAACCTTCATCTATGAGAAGCGATGCATATTGTGGAGCCAACTGAAGTTCTTCTTGTAGTTTACTGAAAGCAAATGGTGTAAGAACACTGGCAGCATGAGATTCAATTGGTGAGCCTGTTTTGAGACAGACTTTCTGCTGTTTCTGTTGCATATTTTGTTTAGAACCAGTCCGATCATTGAACTCAACAATCTCAGCCACCTGCAAAAACAGTTGTTTAGTTAAGGGAGGAAAGTCCATAAATTGATTGAATTTTCAAGAGAAACCAATTAAAAGGTTACAGACTTGCTCTACAAAGTGATCTGGTTGAGACTGTGCACTCAAAATTCGCTGGATGAAAGCATTAATTGCCTCTCTCTGACATGGACTCATCAACCCTGCAAAAAAGTAACGCCTCAAGAATGGCAAGGCCCAAAAATAACGCAATGCATATAAGCTGATGATGTGCTTATTTTCATGGAGTCCATATCTATCAATCATTCCCCTCCATTCATCTTCAAAATCTTCCTCAAATTCCAAACCATAAAGTCGATAGAAATCAGATTTCCAAGCATCATAACGTGAGCCAAGCAGCACAGAGAACCAATCTGAGAACTTTGCCATGATATGTGATATACAAAATGCATGCTGTGTTCCAGGGATTTCAATGGCAACAGCCTCTTTCAGACACGCATTTTGGTCAGTTAATATAGTCTGTGGAGTCTTTCCTTTCATGAAGCTTAGAAATGTCTGCACAACATCAGAACACATCAGGAAATGCAAACAAAGTGAGACCTAGCATTTAAAAGATCAAAATGGAAATGAAGATGACCTTCTTTGGACTTTATCATATCTGGATGGGTTAAACTATCTATCATGAAAGCAGTGACACTAGACACTCAAGAATAAAGAAACAGTTATGGTTAACCTCCACTAGCCCAGATCAAATAGCTAGTTTAGCAACATTCCTAAATGCAATACCAATTCAAAAGCTGATTCTGTGCAAGAAGGAAAGAAACACATAGGGTAAAGCAAAACAAGAAGATGAATACATAGACAATTAACCTACCAAGAACTGCATCCACAGGTAAGTGGAAAAGTGTTAAAACTTAAGAAATTAAGGAACTAGAATGAGAAGTTTTCCAATCTACAAGTAATGGTAAACCCCACTAACAACCTTCTTTCACAAAAATTTAAGTATGAATTGTCCCTCATGGTACTTCCGAAAAACCCAAACAAATACAATGGATGAATCCCATACACCTTGTAAACAATTCCTTACAATAGAGAGAGAGAGAGATGGGAACAGCCGCAGCAGCAGAAGAAATGAAATGAGAGAATCAAAATTTTGGCTTAACCTAAAAAGGGAACCGACATG